TTCTCACTGTCACGACTTTTCGATTTTTCAGTTCCATGATTTTTCAATTTGTCGAATTTTTAAATATTAGATTTTTAGTTTTCTTTGATATTTTGAGTTCTCGATCATTCGATTTTCTGAGTTTTCAGGCTTGGATTTTTTTGTTGTTTAATTCTTGGATTTTTGAAATTTTTGTTTTTTAAATTTTTCTTTTTATCAACTTACTGGGATTTTTTTAATGTTTAATTTTTGATACGATTTTTTTTCAAAAATTTTCAGTTTTTCAATTTATTAACTTTACGATACTTCAGTTTTGCTCGATTTCGATTTCTTTTATTACTGTTGGGATTTTTCAATTTATCGATTCTTAGATTTCTCGATTCTTCATATTTTCGGTTTCTCCAACTTCTTCATTTTTCGATTTCTCAATTTTCCGATGTTTCAGTTTTACGATTTTTAATTATTTTTATTTTTCAGTTTTCAATTTTTGACGTTTCTAAATTTTTCGATTTCTCAATTTTTCGATGAACTGATTTTTTGATTTTCCCATTTCTCTATTTCTCGATTTGTCTCTCTTAGTTCCTGATAAGATAAGACTGATTTGGGCAATTGACATACCTTCCAAAAAAAGAAAGGGTGAGTAGGTGGGGCTAATTTCTGCTAAGATAAGACAAATTTTGGTAAATGATATACCTTCCAAGAAAAGAAAGGGTGGGCGGGCGAAGCTAATTCCTGCTAAGATAAGACGGATTTAGGCAAATGATATACTTTCCAAGAAAAGAAAGGGTGGGTGGGCGGGGCTAGTTCCTGCTAGGATAAGACTGATTTTGACATGAGATACCTACCCTCTATGAATGACGTAGCGGAGAGTTAATCCGCCATTTTTCAGACACCCGGTATATTAAAAACTAGTGGTGTAAATGATACCTTGAACCCCGTGCGCCGTGGGAGGGCAAATTCCAAGGGAGTGCCGTCCGCAGACATACGGACAATATGAAATATATTCAAAACAAATACGGAAAAAAGTGTATTATTATCAGTGTACATGCTTAAGTTCGATTGTTTATATTTCTACATCCAAAGAATGTAACGCAGAAATTTGTTTCATTTGAATGAGTTATCTCCTCAAAACAGAGGGCTAAAATGATTAATTGACCCACAATGGAACAAATATTTTTATATGATTATTATTCTTATTTGGTGATAATTATACGAAGACCTATCGAGACAAATTTGTCTTTCTTCAATTGTGATTTTTCAATTTTTCGATTTCTGAATTTTTCAATGTTTCAGTTTTGGATTTTTTCACTTTTTCGATTCTTCAATTTTCTTTCCATTTTTCAGTTTTTCAAGATTTCACTTTTGAATTTTTTCACTTTTTCGATTTTTAAATTTTCCTTCCATTTTTCAGTTTTTCAGTATTTCAGTTCTGGAATTTTGCAATGTTTCGGTTCTTCAATTTTTCCATTTTTGATGTTTCGATTTCTCGATTTTTCAATTTTTCGATAGGTATATTAGTTTTGCAATTTTTAAGTTCTAGATTTTCCGTTAATTTTTTTGTTTTCCTTGATGTTTTGATTTGTTTTCCAATTTTTCAATTTTTAAGTATATTTTTCGATTTTTAAAGTTTTTGATTTTTCGATTTTTCCTATTTGTTGTCTATTTTAAGTATATTTCATTTTTCAATTTGCACCTTCTGCGGGAGTATTATTTGTTGTGCTGCACTTGATGGGCGAGGGAAGTTCTGTCGAAATAACCTTCGACCAATTTTTATACTTAGCACGTAGGGTTCTTACTAAGCATTCCTTATTTAACCGAACAGTTATTAACCGAACAGTTATTAATTTAACTAAGCAGCTATTATTTCACCAAGCATATATTATTTTTACTGAGAATTTATTTTTTTAAATTTAGCACGTTTAGGAGTTATTATATAAAAAAAAGAATCAAATAATAACTTATTCATCATGATGAACCGATTTACTTCACGAACGAAGGAAGTTCTCTAAAAAGTAGGCACTACTTTCTCAACTTTGTAGTCCATGCAAGCTATAGCGGGAACTTTGAAATTTTAATTTTTTCGGGCGTTCATCAATATTTGAATAAAAGATGACCAACTTGCGGCGCTCGTATTATGTATATATCATCTGAAACTTTGATCGTGCTTGGTGTCCTGTCATATGGGTAACGCGAGCACGTTTATTGAAAATGACTGGTGTATGTCCCTGTGAATCTAAATTATTAACAAGATGTTTTATAATTATTTAAAAGCTTTTGGAGTAGTTCCAGAATCATTAAAACAGTCGGAACGCAAAATTCTTACAATCAATAGAGTCGTTGTAACACCTCGGGAATGATTTATTTCAAGCAGTGTTACTACCCCTTGTCGTGGCACTTTATTTCCTCCCGTTCGAAAAAACATGTAAATCCATTTAGAAAACAGTACATAATTCACCATCTCCCTAAGAACACGTACCTATCACCTCGACCCCTTTAAAAAACAACGAAGGTAAAACCTTCCCATTTTAATTTAATCCCGTCGGGACTTCATCTATTTCCTTTCATTCACTTCCGCCCCCCGCACCTCACCTACTCTCTTCTGACCACAACACTCTCCCGATCCATCATAACTCGAAGCCCACGACGGAAGGAAGAGAACCAATCTGTACAAACACACTAACGAATATTCCCAGAGTAGCAAAACCGGGAAGGATTCACCGTAATTTATCAAATAAAAGACGCGCCCTCCCCCGGTAAACACGGTAAGTGTCGATCCCGAGATAAAGCGGGAGTTTTTGCGCCACCTTGTTCCCGTTGGTTTCATTTTTAATCCCCGTTATCGAAGGGAATCTAGGGATAAATACCGGCAGACGCTGTGCCCTTTGTAATTGAGAACACTCGATGTGGAGTGGGCGGCTTATGACGTGGCTGAGGGGGGAAGTGCACGAGATCGAGATATGGGGCGGCGTTCCGGAAAGGTCACAGACGTCGGGGGATTTTTCCCTAATGCATCATGTGCGAAAGTGTTGGCCCTTCGATCTATTTATGTTTTCTCGCTTGAAAATCGCTTCTATACAACACAAGTCCGGGATCTTATTATCCGCCCGCCAAACCGGCTATTAATTATCGCCGCCGAAGATAAAATTTCGCTCGATTATCAACATGGCTTTCCAATAATTTTGATAAATGTATCAATTTTCACTTCTTACAAAGCTGCTTTCAATTAAAATCGCATTAACCTGCTCGAAGGGCGTCTAACGAGCAGCCGAAGACGAAATTGTGGAAAAAAACTCGCGGAAATTAGTGCTGCGTCGAATGGAATCCCCAAAACAGACCGACTTGCCGTGATTCGGTGCAATAGAATTAATCACAATGGGTGGAACTGCGTGATTTCTTGGATGAATCGGTCGTTAAACTCGCGTTAGGCGCAACACTTGCTCGAAAACTGCACACGTTTTAGGTTTGTCGATACTGCAGGTCAACGGTGTATTTTTAACTGTTATTACTACCGGGGGCGGTCAGAAGTTTCTCCATATTGCTTTATCACCAATTATTCGCCCAATTATCTCCATCAGTAAAAATCGATACATTGAAATATCGTGATTTAATCCAATAAAAGTTCAAACGTGTCGCCATAAACCTAATAAAACCAGATTAGTCTTGATTTGTTTAATCAAAAAAATTCCGAAACATGAACAAATAATCAGATCGAGGGGTTCATTTTGAAACTATCACTGTATGCTTTAAAGTACTTTTGGAAAGACTGTCTAGACTGGTTTCCCCTGACGCACAGCTATTCTGCATACAATAACAAAACTTTTCTCAGTTTAGCTTCTAAAAACATAGCTGAACGTGCTTGCGACACTCGCTTTAGCTCACATTAGTGTGGAGTCATTGACGCGACTATAATAATCTATGGACTATGAATGAAATCTATGGCCTGTATAGATTTCGTTTTTGTTTCCATTTGAACTTATAGTCCACAACTTCTTAAATTTTAAACTTGTACATATAGAATAAAAACCAGTGAAAGTCTCAAAAGATTGATAAATCCGGAAATTAGTTGCTTTCATAACAATAAAGTTTTTAAATTTAGCTTCACAGGGACATCGATTGGTACCAAATTTTCAATGACAAAAATTCCAGATCCGAAAAGAGCACTTCTTTCCTTCTTTCGAATTGGTCCTGAATAAACAAATTAAGTTAGAACATGACACACTCAATGTTGTAATTCCGTAATAAACTGTGTTATTCCAGCAAAACGAGCGCAGCGAGCACGTGCGAGTAGCTAAAAAACAAACTTTTCGCGACTGAGAGCAAATTCATTAGAGAGAACAGTTTTGTTGTTGGTAAACAAATCAGCACGAATTTCTGTCGTAATTTGCTTTTATTATGATGAATCTGTGTTCGTCAGAACAAAAAACAATTCCTTGACCACACGCTGTACACTCTCTGTTTAAGTACACAGCCGTCCAAAGGACCCTTTATGTACTTAGCTCCTTTGTGCCTGGAAGTCAATTGTCCCCTAGATAATGACGTATTTCTTAGCAAATAAAATCATTACTCCGTCTTGGTGCACAATCATTGTGTAACTAATTTCCAGTCCAGCTGAATCCAGCTCGAAAGCTCCTTTCAGTATTAAAAAATGCTAAGTGCTGAGCCGAGCCTCGGAAAATACGGCCGTCCAAAGTTTAATCACCTGTTAAATGAGATGAACTATTCTAAAACATTTCGCGAAGTTGAGAAAAGTCTCGAGTTTTAGTTCTCGCCGGCGGGTATTCGAATTTGTAAAAATTTTCAAGCACTAATTCCGATTTCGGAACAAATTGACAAACACAAGCGTAAAAGTCCTCAAAACCCCCACATCTAGATTCAACCCCACTATATCAACAACTGTAAAAACGTGACCGACGATAAAAAATCGAATGACTCTTCACACAATCACGCCACGATTAAAAGCCATGCACGGGTCTCCGGGCAAAAACCCCACGTTCCTCACACAAACACGCCATCTCCCTTACCAAAACTCCTCGGGTGAACCCTCCGGCCCTTGCCCAGTCGCTTCAGCACTCGATCTCACGGCGTCGCCATCAGAACGGTGCTGTCAGGTGCAGGTCCGAGGAAACAGTGAGCGGTCGGTCTCGGGAGCAGCACGGAACCCACTAGCACCCCGGACGAGCGTCGACAGGGATGCGCTCCTGCCGCCGCCCCCAGCACGCACGCGTAAATCGCCGCCGCCACATCTCAAAAAAATGTTTTTATGACGGCGACTCGCAGCGTGATGCGAATTTGCATCGAATTGTGCGTAATTGCGGCCCGGGGACGGGTGGAAGGGTCATGATCACCGTGCGATTTTCAAGTTTTTTATTGCACGTTCAGGAATTGTAGAAAATATAACGTGTTTCAAGGAATGAAAAAATAAAACAATGACATTGTTGGTATATTTCCGCAAGTGGCAATTGGGCAGCCTTTTAACATTTATTTTCCATTAGGGGAACGTGGTTGTCTCATTCCGGGATTCGTTGTGTTCAAGTGGATGATTATACAAGTCACGGACAAATTCAATAGGTTCTTTTAATCCGATACGTACGAGTAATCCGAAGAGAAATATTTTTTTCGGCCCTCGCTAAGTTGGGGAAAGAGCTGCGCAGTAATTAGATAAATTTCGTTGTAGCGGACGTGTGAGGGCCCTCGAATTACACGAATACAGTTAAATTGGGGTGGGTGAGCGAAATAAAGAAGTCTTAATTGGGGGCGTTGCATACAGTTTACTTAAAATCGACTGCTAGGGATTTCTTCATTGCATAACTTGCCCTAGGACTTTTTTTCCAATCCTAATCAGTCGTCGGAATTGGGTACCCGACTACAATGCAACGTGGGTAAATTATTATACGTAGGAATCTAAAATTAATAAATTTAACTTTTGATACAGCGAACAATGACGACTTTATCTTTCGCTTTAATTAAAGGCTGAGTTATAAAAGAATTTATATTTCTTTGATCTTTCCATTAAAAGAAACTTCGCTCGCATTAATCAGCTTGAATATTTTCTTTGTGTTGAGTGTCTTTGAACTTCGGAAGAGGACTTTTTTGTTTTCCCTTTAATCATTTTCAGAAACCATACGCAACTTCGGCGCTAAAATATTAATCCAATTTTTGTAGAATCCACGCCGAAGATACCTTCTTTGGTCGCGAACGTGGAAATCTGTTGAAGGCCAACTCAAGTTTGTTTGTTGCCAATACTGCTAACACACTTTCGATTCGTGAGATGGCGCAACCTACGCTACCACAGCTCTAAATCAGCTCTAAATATTAAATTAAATATCCTCTCAGGTATCCTTTTACCCCAACACAAGACCCCTCTGCAAAAATACTTTATTCGGTGCAAAATATAAGTATCACTAAAATCGTAACAGAAATTAAAAACTACTTAATTAAATACCATAATCTAAAAAAGCCTAAAATCTTTAAAACATGTGAAGACACGATAAAAAAAATAAATAACAATTTAACTCTGTTCGTTCTTGACGTGCGTTTTGATGTGCTGCAGTAGTCCGTCCCGCCTGTTGAACGTCGCGGGACACATCGTGCACGAGTGCTCCTTGTTTACGTCGTGGATCCGCATGTGCCGCACCAGCTTGTCCTTGCGCCCAAAGCTCTTGCTGCACTTGACACACTTGAACGGCTTCATCCCCGTGTGCGTGGCGAAGTGCCTGTCCAGCTCCCGCTTCCTGATGAAGGTCTTCTTGCACACCGTGCACGCGTGCGGCCTAATCCCCGAGTGCGTGGCGTGGTGGTACCGCATGTTCTCCGGGTTCGAGAACGTCTTCGGACACGAGTCGCACGAGTAGCGCTTGCCGTCGTCGTTCGAGAAGCTGTCCCCCGTGATGTGCGCCGGGATCTGCGGCAGGTCGCGCAGCTCGGCGCCGTCCGCCGCCTCCTTGGGCTCCGCCGTCAAATCCGTCTCCGATGCGTTCTCCGCCTTCACGGACCCGTCGAAGCTGTTGTGGTTGAAGGGGTCCAAGCTGATCACCATGTTCTCCGAGTCGGCCCACGCCTCCTGCTTGTCCTCGCTGTCGCGCGTCTCGTCGCCGTCCTTCGCGTAGTACTCCCCGAGGTTGTCGCGCATCAACTGCAGCTCGTGCGACTTGTCCTCGCAGTTCTCCTGCGGGAAATGACGCTTTTCGTGCCGCAGCAGCTTGTCCTTGCGCCCGAAACTCAAGTGGCAGAAGTTGCAACTGAAGGGTTTCTGCCCCGAGTGGATGATGGCGTGGCGCGTGAGGTCTCCCTTGGAGAAGAACGTCTTGGGGCACTTGGGGCACACGAAGGGCTTCTGCCCCGAGTGGATCCGCATGTGCTTGGAGAGGTTCGTGTTCCGCGAGAACGACTTGGAGCACACCATGCAGGTGTAGGGCTTGATGCCGGTGTGCACCACGGTGTGCTTCCGCAAGTCGGACCTCCTGGCGAAGGTCCGGTCGCACTGCGGGCAGTTGTAGGGCTTGTCGTTCTGGTGCACCCCCTTGAGGTGCGCCGAATACTGCAGGCGGTCCGCGAAACCCATCTCGCACAGGCTGCAGGTGTAGGGCACCTCGTTGTTGTGGGCCGTGTTCTCGTGCTCGACGCACTCGCCCTTGTCGGTGAAGGCGTGATCGCAGTACCGGCACATGGACACGTTCTTCCCGCCGTAGGTATCCGTAGTCTCGACGTTTTCACCGTCGCTGGGCCTGTCGTTCTCGCTTTCGTACTCGGACTCGTAGTCGAGAGCCGTGGGGTCCACCACCATGACGACGTCTTCTTCGTTGCCGTTGGCGAGCTGCTCGAAGAAGGGCAGCTGGGGCGGCGGGCCGTTGTCGGCGGGGCCGTTCTCGGTCGCCATCGCCGCGTTTAATTGACGGAGGGTGGCGTCGGACATGAAACATAGCTTGCGGAACTCGAGGCAGAATTCGATCTTATAGAGGCAGCGGTGGCAGATGACGTTCGGGAGGCCGTCGCCGTGGGAAATCTGCAAAGAAAAATAGTTTTCTTGTTATCTATAGTTCGAATTCATTTCTCATAGTGGACAGTAAAATATCAGACAAAACATGGTGGCATCTAGCCGATATGTTTCGTAAGCTCGTTAATTAGAACCGAAGATGAAAGGGATTTTTTTTTCTCGTTAGCGGGTACACGGACGCAACAAACACAATTTAGAATATAATGAAGCTGACCTTGCTGTTTTCACGGATCGTATGCGATGGTTACTTAACACAGAAAAAAAACGTGTTTGATACGCGAAATTTAAGATAAAAAGAAAAAGCGAATTTATTTAAACAGGTCTGGAAAAAAGGCACGTAAAGCAATCTAGTTAGAAGCTATTATACTGGCGAAACGAAAAAATATATCGAAATTATCTTGTGTTTGTCGCTCAGGCGACAAAGTATTCTCTCATCTTGAAAATTACTTGTAAAAAATGTAAAATACGAATGCAAATTTTATCGCTTCCAATGCAAATTTCTGTGAACAGGCAACCAGCAATACTTCGACTCCTTAAAAAAACAGAGAGGAATATCATCATAAATTAATATTTTACAGAAATAATAAAAAAGCGTTTGATGTCAAAAATTGGGTACATGAAGAGGAGCTGAATTTGTTTAAAACAATTTTAAATGTAGAATATGCATGTTGAGTCACAGTAGATGTTGAGTGGACTCGTAAAAGCAAAATTTATATGGGTAGGCAACTAGTAATACTTATCCTGCAAAGAACTGTCATTAAAAATTAGTCTGAAGTTATTCGGACAGAACTTCCCCAGCAGGTGAATTTGATATTTTAAAGAGGATTAATTGGGGACATTTTTAGTTTTGGTGGGAATGGATAGAGAATTCAGAACTTTTTACTGCATTATACATACTCCTAGTTAAATAATAATTTTAATCGCTTCCTCTGTTTTGAGAAGACAATTTGCTGCGTGCTTAATTGTAGCATTCTTTCGATGTATAAACATAAACAATAGAAGTTAAGCATGTACTGATAATATAGTTTCACTTCAGATGCGAGGGAAGATCTGTCTAAATAACTTTTGACCAATTTTTTGGGTTTAAAAGAGAAAGTCTTGCAGGCGCCTAGTGTTTTTTTTTTAATATATAAAAATCTTCGGGGCCTCTTGTGTTTTGTGGAGTTCTTTATTTGGAAAGAATTTTACAGAATCTTAGGGCTCCTAGCGTCTTTTTTTTTAAATAATGTTTCTGTTTTGGAGGAAAAATCAAAATATTGTCAAAACCGAAAAATTGAAAAATCAAGAATTTTAAAAATCTAAAAAATCCAAAAATCCAAAAAATCGAATAGATGAAAATGCTGAAAAAGGTAAGACTCGCAAAATTTTGAAAAATCTAGTGAGTAAATAATAAAAAAAAATCTAAAAATTTAAAAATGGAAATCTTGAAAAATCCCAAAACTTAAACACAGAAATCGAAAAAGTGAGAAATCGAAAAATTCAAAAATTTTCAAACGCCAAAAAAACTGGAAACTCGAATAATCGAAAAGATGAAAATGGAAAAACTGAGAAATCGAAATCGAAAAACTTAAACTTAAAAAACTCGATAAATCGACAAACTGAAAAATCGAAATATCGAAAAATATTAAAATGAGAAGGCAAAAAATCGAAAAACTGAGAAATTGAAACATCAGAAAAGTGAAAAATGTAAATTTAAAAATTCTAAAAATCGAAAATTTACAAAATCGAGAAATCATCATCGAATCGAAAAATCGAAAAATAATAATAATAGTAATAATATAGATTTTATTGACTAACACAACAAAAGTTCCAAAAGAGATAAAAGTTATACAAAAAAAAAGATAAAGAAAAATAATATTTAGTAACTTAAATTGTACTTGGCTATTACTAAAGACGCCTAAAATAATTATTAAACTTATGTTGTGAACAATTGAAAATATCTATATCGTCTAAGTTATTTTATTATAAAATTGTAAGATTTGAAAAATCGAATAAGTAAAAAATCAAAAAAACAAAAAGTAGAACAAACTATAAAAATCGAAACACATTGAAAAATCTAAAAAATTAAACACTGAAAATTTGAGTAATGAAATTCTTTTGAAATAAATAACCCACATCGTTCAGTTTTTATATTTATATTCAATGATTGTTCGAAATGTCTTCAATCGACTTCAATCATTTATACTCACAATAATTTTTGCTCATGGTCACTTTTTAAGTATATCAACAAAATTCAAGACCCTAACCCCAATTCATTCTGCATATTACCATGGTATCAATCCTTCTCATCTAAATAACAAGAAAACGGCATTAATAATGCATTTAGGCGAATATATTAATAGACGGACTTGTTAAGCCCTGTTTGCCCTACAGTGCCCAAGTGGTGTTTGAGTATAATAATTATGTCCACCATTAAAATTAATATTTCAAAAGAATGCGGGAAAAGATTATTCTGTGCTGAAGCCTGTCATAAATTATCATTATTCTTCAATATCGGCTTATGATGTTTTATGACCCATGTCCCGTAGGGTCTACAGATTTAAGGAAGCAACAAATGGTGCCCAATTCAAACTTGTCAGTCGCCTAGCATTCCCTGTAGTAATTGTAGAAATAAACTGTGCAAAACTTTGCTGTGTTTAAGTTAAAGACCGTTCTTGTTTAATTCGAGTTGTGATTTTCTTTCAGAGCCTAAGCCAGTGTAATTAAAAGCATTTTAACAAACGGTTATAGAATAGATGTAGTGGACAGAAATGAGTCAGACATAAGGCACGCTAAATAGTTTAAACAAAATTATTATTATTACTACTAAGAATTTTTTAGTTATGAACGGGTTTCTGTTTGCTTATTTTGTCAAGATCTTATAGTGACCATGATGAGTTATAATAATAAATTAAAAAAATTGGACATGCACCAACGTAAACAAATAAAAAAACCACACATCGTTAACCTTGCATTGCCGTTGATTATGACATTCGATTTCCTCTACTAACGAAAAAACTGCACTTACAAGTGACTTTTTCAACACGATGTGATCATTAATATTCTAAGCGCTAAAAGTTGCTAAAAATATGTGATATTTTGGACTGAAAATCTTCTAAATATTGACGGCTTGATTTTTCAACAAGTATGTAATGAAGTTTTGAAAATCATATATATTTTCTAGAAACCTATAGTTTGCGGATTAATCCTTTTTTGAATATAACTTCTGACACAGTAAACACAAATGTTCGAAGCGTTCACTGTTTTCAAAAAATAAAATTTTTACTAAAACTTTTTTTGATAATACAAATCTCATTGTAAATATGCAGCATAGCTGGTTGAAAAAATTCGTATTTAATATGAGCTACTGAAAAAATTGGTCGAAAGTTCTTTCAACAAAAACATAAAAAATAAACATCCAATCAGATTTAGGAATTTAACTCGTTACTATCGAAACTTGCTATTTAACACCTTTTAAATTTAACAATTTTTTACAAGATTAATAGCGCCAAAATCTTAGCAAGTACTAGCCCCGCCCATCCGCCCCCTATTTTTTCAGAAGATATGTCATTTGCAAAAATAAGTCTTATCTCAGCAAGTACTCGCCCCGCCCACCCGCCCCCTATTTTCTCAGGGGAATGTTATTTGCCAAAATCAGTCTTATCTTAGCAAGTACTAGCCCCGCCCACCCGCCCCCTATTTTCTCTGAGGTACATATGTCATTTGCCAAATTAATCTTATTTTAGCAAGTACTAGCCCCGTCATTTACCAAAAAAGCTAATATTTGCTAAGATAAGACTGATTTTGGCAGATGACATAATCCTGTGAAAAATAGGGGGTGGGTGGGCGGGGCTAATACTTGCTAAGATAAAACTGATGTTGGCAAATGCCATACACTCAAAGAAAATAGAGGGTGGGTGGGCGGGGCTAGTCCTTGGTAAGATAAGACCAATTTTGACAAATGCCATTCTCCGAGAAAATAGAGGGCACATCTAAAAAATATGAATATAATGATAAATCACCAGTCAAAACTCATCATATTTTGCACATTTTCGCAAAATTTTGAGATGACGTCATCAATTTCTTGGGGGGAATAAACAGATATATTTGGTTACATGCTTACAATAACTTTAAAAGATCTGTAAGATTTCAAAATATTCATTTTTGCAATTCCTGATTTATTGAACAAAATAAATTGATCGATTAATTAATTTTCTTGAGTCACCCTGTACATATAAGCAAATCCGACAAATATGAATCGAACGATAAATTACAAGTATACATACTCATCATATTTTGGACATTTTAGACAGGATTTATCAAGCAAATTTTTGAGCTGACGTAATAAATTTTTTGGAGGGGGATAAGCAAATATATTTTGATTAAAAATTTATTATGCTTATCATAACTTTAAGCTATATATTTGCAAGATTTCAAAGCATTCGATTTTCCAGATTCAAAATTAAATTGCAAAATGTTTCATAATTTTGATTTTTTTGTAGTACTTTCGGAGAGTATCTGTCTAACAAAAATCAGACGACAGACGGACAGACAGGCAGACGCAAACGGGAGACCCATTTCTTCGTATTCTAGGGGTCATGAAAGGTAGAGAAAACGTAAAAGTAGAGAGTCGCCCATGTCATGAGCAAAATGTAAACAAATATTTTTCGGGTTTCGGGGAAGTTCCTAGGTCCGGACGCTCACCGATCATAATACCGCAGAGTATTATAGTTTTAGAAAGCTTGTCAGTTTTTACTCGCCGATGATACATTAAAAATTAAATTTGGAGAACTTTACGCACAACCAAAATAAATTAAAAAAAAAACACTAATAAACCTTGTGTAGCCAACGCTCGTGACATTATGTTTGAAATGCCACAGAACACGTCGATAAAACAGAACAAAACAAAACAAAACAAAGCACAAAATACAAATGTCAAAAGTTCGTTGCCACCTCGGCGTAATGATCCAGTGCATCGCACAAAAACGTCATCATTCGCACTGCAAAAAAAATGCAATCCTTCAAACCGCGCGCCTCAATCTCGCCATCCCATTGGCCGCGCGCCTCGCATCAACCCGTAACGATTACCGCGACGTTGCCACATGTCCCCGACCCACAAAAGCCCCGAAACCCCCTCGAACCCACTTTCCCGCGCTCCCGCGGCCCCATTCGCGCCCCCTTGCGCGCACTCCCGCGCCCCAGCCCCAGGTCGCCGCCGAATTGCGCCGCCAAGCCGCTTTTCCATGTCGCCCACGTGGCAACGCCGCCCACACACGGAAAGCCCGAAAAATGGTCGAATTTTGACACATCCGCCCCCAGCGGCGGCCGTGCTCCCGCGAAAACCCCTCGCGAGTGCCACGCCGCGCCGTCCGCCGCCGACGCTGCCCCAGGTGCGCCCGTCCGACCCTAACCTCAACCCCGCGCCGCCCAACTGTCACTTACTTGTAGCGCCGTGCAATCGATGATCTTCTTGTAAATGCTCTTGTCCTTGCCCTGGATGTGATTGAAGATGCCCAGCATGTAGCCGTCCTTCTGCAAGCACAGCCGACAGATGGTTGCGTAACTCCTCCAGCTCTCGAACGCCTCCATCGTGCTGGGAGACAGGACGCACGTTTATTTGGTTTCTGTTTGTGTACACCTGGCAACGAGTGATGTCGTTTGGGGCGCCGCCTGGGCCTCGGCTCGCCGGACTGGACTGGCGAAGGGCGGTTGCGAGAGTGCCGACTTGCGCGTGGCCCCCTCGATTGGAGCTCCCGGGAGTTGGTCGTGCGGATACATCTGCCGTTTGGCGCCAGGTTCGAATCGGGGCTGCGAGACCGGCCGATGGGGGGTTTCGGGGGCGGGTTTGGCGGGCGCGGGACCTTCTCGACGCTTTTCGCCGAAAACGGACGCTAGTGGGACGACGAGAATTGATAATTCTCGGGAGGTGTTCACGGGACTAGTTCGAGGAAAGAGGGAAGCCGCGTTAATAATCGGGATTTTATCGAAAATAACATAGAAGGTGTCTTTTTCGCAATCGAAGTCAACGGCAAAATTATCGGTGATTGATTAGCAGTTTCGTCGGTTTCAAAAATAAATAGTTCATAAAAATGTCCCAATACCAAAAAAAAAAAAATTATATGAAACTTGAAATTTACACTTGTGTCGTCATGTGTTGACTCAACTCGAAATTTATTGGACAAATATATGCTGCACATTTAAATTTGTGTACCAAAAGTATGAGACTACGTCATCGGTTTGTTGGTGGGGAGAAATGTGTTCATTTAATAAGTTTGTACCACTACTAATTATAACGTTAAAGTGTTGGCATAAAAAATGACATAAACCAGGAAATCATAGGTAGTAAATAAAATAAATTTTTCAGTCAAGAAATAATAAAAATTGGGCCGGACTGAGATCTTCAAGGACGTTTGAAAATAATTGACCCACAGTTTCCCCAGTGTTTTGTGAATTTTTTTCCCGAGTGCAGCGAGCACGTTCAGATGGTACCTATTGAAAGTACTTATAGAGGTCTCTGTGAAATTAGGAAACAATTGCATCCGGAATGTGCTCACATTTTAGACATTCTTTTTTACGGTTTTATTTATTATAGGTTCCTGTAAAGCACGGTTATTAAAAAAAGTATATAAAAAAACGTAACCAATAAACTGATTTTCTGATATCATATGTTTAAAAAATATACTTCTTGTATACGATTAAAAATTGAGATGATTATTATAGTCACTTTGGGAAAAATCAACATGTACTACTTAGTTTTTGTACTGAATGAAATGAAAATTTACAGGTTTAGTCCTTTCATTCATCAATAGTAGAGATTTTAAGAAAATTTAGGTCATTTTCTGAACTTGTTACACCTACTAAATTTTTAAGTATAGTGTATCATAATAACATCAAAGCAAAGGAATTTAGATTTCTTAATCATGATACGAGTATACCTATCTACAATTTAAAGTTTATTCACAAAAGTTAAATATCTACAGAAACTAGAAATTTCCTTGCTTGATTTTGATTGACCTATTAAGATAATTTATTACACACATACTTTAAATAACCATGTTTTAAAAAACTCATACTGAATTTAAATAATTCAGGCTTATAAATTCTGCGCTTATCTTTGGCAACATGTATTTTAGAAATCCGTTTCTTTTTTCGCTTTTCTTGATTTTATAATCCGAATGTAAGGTATTCAGATTTCAGCAACGGTAAGAATTTTTTTTTTTTCGTTTTGGACAAGAAAGAGATCTTGGAATGGAGAAAAGTCTTCCCTAGTTTCAAATGCCAAAGCAATTTGTGATGTTGATTACGTATGCTACCATAAGAAGCTTTTGCGTCTCAGATAACCGTTCCAATTAAATATGTATTACATTTTTGTCCTCCAAGCTATACGAAGAGAATTGAAATTGTCGACAAAAAACCCAGACTAAAACTAAAACAAAAAACATCGAAACGTCTCTAAGACCTCACACTTATTATTCTTAGCAAGGCCACAAGTTGTGATGAGAAATTTAATCAAGACTGTCATAAAAAAAACCGATTTCGATTTAACAACCACGATAACAAAAATGAAACCACTTTATTACTTAATTAGAAATTTATTTGCTGCAAGTGACTCAAATCCTATAGTTCCTGAACGAGTTTCCTTGAATGGCGTTTGAAGATCCTTTTCCGAAGTCATTTTTCGTGGAGTATTGAGGTACAGCACATCCTGTAACATTTTCCACCCCGTCGCAACTATTAATTAAATCGTTAAAGGCCTGCCCTTCGCCACAGTTGTACATCCTGGGTCTGTTATTCACACAGACGAAGTACCTTTGGCAGTCGTTTGGCGACCGGAAAAACCTAAATTCCTCTTGACCCAAACCGAAAGCTCTGGCATCCGGCGGACACGTAAAACCTAGAAAACCTGATTTTTTTTGTTAGAAAAATGTATCTCATAAAATGCACCACATACCCTCTGCGTCACACGTTGGCACTTGATCCGGCCAATCGCAGCGATAGCTATCACCGTTGAACGCCAATCCTTCCGGACAGTCAAAAACGAAGCCCCGCCCCTCTACGCAATTTTTGAACTGGCCGCAAGTCGTCGCGTCCCCTAGCCGGAAGTAGCCGTACTGGTGGGGACAGTCGTCCGTGGGTTGGGCCGGTTCTGAAACCACAAATTTCGTAATCGTGCAACCTAAAATACAGATTGGGACATACGAGTTTGCTCGCGGCCTGTGCAGTCCACGTCGATGGGGTACTGACAAGGAAAAGCCTGCGGACCGGTCGCTGGGTTGAATAGTAGCCCATCTGGGCACACTTTCTCCTCAGGGACTCCATCTTTGCATTCTATGTACCTGGAATTATCATTATTAATATCATTATTATCTGTGGCTACGGGTGTGAGTACCCGTCACAGGTTCCCGTGGGGTAGCGCCCGTCCTTCTCAGGGCAAGAGCCGGAGCGCTGAGGCACATTGTAGTTCTGGTTGAAGTTCGTCTGTCTCCTATAGACGTCGACCCCGAAGGCTGGACAAGAGGATTCGGATTAATTCGCGCACAAAATCAACAATTAATAGGTGGATGAGACCAGACGTGAATATTGATCGTGTGGAAAATACGCACTGATTTGCATAGACCGAAGGTAAATTATGAAACACAGATACATTAAATAGAAAACTTGTTTTTTTCAGAACGACGCATCTTTTATCTTCAAGCAATCGCTTTCACTTTGTGAATAAGCTAAAAGTCATTGTCTGCGTGGTAATAATTGGTTACGTGTAGGACAACAACCTCAGACAAACCACGCCTTTTTGCCCACAAACCACACCCTTTTGTGACACTAGCCACGCCCCGAGCGATCATTTAATTGAAACGTTGCGAGATGTGCGCGGTCCGTCAGTAATTGCTCGCCTTGACATTACCGCACGGTAAATTCTGGAAACGTGATTAAAATTTTAAAATGATCTTCTCTCGGCTTGAAATGTCACTGGTAAACATGGATGTTAATTAAGAGATTTGTTTTTTTGGTTCTAAAGAAGCGTGAAGGAGTTTCCTGTTTTTAATAACAGATGAGCGTTGACATTTATCAGAATTCAAATAAAACAATTACTGAAATGCGGATTTTGAGAGGATTCTTCAAGGCAAGTGGAATTGTTTAGTTCTTTGGTATTGTATGATAATTTGAGTAAAAGGGGGTCGCTTGACGACGGACAATTAGTGGTGTTTTATTACCTCTTGAGGACTTTCGGTTGATTCCGTGACCAGGATACCGCGAAAAATCGATCAAAAGTAGAACTAAAAACGCGCATCAACCTTATTAAATTACTCGATAGCGTGAGGACAATATAAGTAGACCAAAGCTGGTACCAAAACTAATAATTGCTCCCTCTGAAGTACTCTCTCTCTAATTACCCTACCCCTAATCTCCATAAATTAAAATCATAGCTGCCGACCGCACAAAGCAGTGTCTGGTTGCAAGGGCGCGTTAATATCTCCCATCCAGACCCTCATCTGCATAATTTCAATCATTCGAAGACACGCAATACCCACTCGATAAAAATATAGGAAAAACCACCAAGGAACAAACGTGACACTAATGCACCTCGTTAAATTAAGAAAAGCGAGTTACGTAAAGCAGAAATCGCTAAACAAATAAAAGCTCACCTTGTACGATGAAGAGGCCTGCGATGGCCAACACTTGCGACTGCTTCATGCTCTTGCGACTTCTGGCACCCGAATGAAGACGCGCATCTCTGCGTCACTCGCGTAAACCCAAGCTCCTCTCCGCTCAGCCTCATATTTAATCATGAAGATGTTAAACGACTTATTGCACAATTCTTTTCTCTGATGCGCGATGCGACGAGTGCAGGCCGGCCTTGGCTCTGCGACACCACTTTCGGGGGGTCGAAAGAGATTTTTGGCTTGTTAGGGAGGTCCTGGTGACGAGAAGGAGAAAATCGCGGGTCATGAAGGAGACCGAAGTGATGCTGCCAAAAGTATCAATCAAAGAACACAGTAGCATTTTTTTGTTGGATAGAAAATCAAATATGATTGTTTAACTGGTTGCATAATCACCCGGAATATGCTGAAAGTGCATCAATGATGAATGGATCATACAGCACAAATGTTTTTTGTGTGTTTTGGCCATCTGGGACATTTCTTTGGTTGGTTTGGGGTTTAAATGGGTCGACAACCGGACAAAAGTGTCGTGGTCACTCAAATTGGCATGATTATTGATTTTGCCGACATTTAGCAAATCCAGGAACTGTAAAAGCTGCTTAGAGAGATTTGTTTGGGGTTATGTAACACACGAGGGATTAATTTAAGAGAAAGTACCTCTTCTTTGGTATCTATCTGTTAATTTTTGCGTAAACGACGTCGCCTTTACTCTTCTGGCTGTAGTAAAAGGTGAAATAAAGCCAAGCAGTCGGTAATTTATATATTGTTCCAGTATACAGCAACAGCAGTATACACATTTGTAATAGTACAAAAGTAATATGTCTTGTCATCACCACATCAAATCGATAAGGCACATTAACCGCTAATACAGCAAGAATGTTGAAATAATGACATCATAATAAGTTACTTACATCTTAAGTACATACAACTAATAATCGCAATACTTAAAAAAACCTGTGAGCAAATAATTATGTACACAAGAGAAAATAATGATCGAGGTTGGATTACATCTATCTCTCGGGGTCGAAATAAATAGTCAGACTTCTGCATCAGTCAAAAGATAAATCGCAGTACTTAACTAACACACAAAAATAAAAAACTTGTAATAAAATATGACGATAAAATTTGTAATTGATTTAAAGCAACAATAAATTAACAATGACAACGGGCTCTGTTCCATTAAAATCCACTTTAGTACTTACATCGACACACTAAATATGGCTAACATTTTAACACCACTATAATTACACAGCACAGCCTTTTTTAATGCCATATAAGACTTTAAGTTCGGGGAAAATGATCTTTTTAATGAGTTGATTCGTCTTGGCCGCCAGCATCGCCCTCTTCTGGTCCTTCTTGTAGATCTTGATGCCCGGCCGGTGCACCAGGAAAGCGTTGTTGAGTATCAGAAAGTCGTAGTCCATCACGCACAGCGCGTACCCCTGAAACTCACACGTCAGCACCGTCCGGTAAGCGGAAGATCGACCACCACCTCACCTGCGTCATCTTGTCGCTCTTCCCCTCCCAGCTCAGCCGCTCGTCGTACAGCGGGTCGGCGTGCGTCCCGATGAAGATCGGCTCCCAGTGGATGAACTTGCCGTTGCGCTTCCCCACGTGGAACACCCGCAGCTCGGCCGTCTCGTTGGCGTTCTGCCACTCCTTGGCTTTCGGCACGCTGTGGCAGCCCGGGCACAGCTTCTTGTGGAACGGCACCGCCGTGCCGTTGGCGAGCATCTCCTTGAGCTTGGTCTTGCTGTCCGGGACCTGCTGGTTGGCACTCACTTCGAACAGGTGCAGCGGGAACACCTTGGGGTTCTTGCTGAGGAGTGGACCGCTGTTGTCGGCGATCATCTTCAGGAACTGCGGGATTATGTTCGGACTAGGGTAGAGCTCGATGTCCGACGGCAGGATGTAGTGCGTCTGGGCCGTCTCGCGGGCCACGTTGCGGCCCACGTTCACCGGGTAGAGCAGCTTCTTCTGGCTCTTGTACATCTGTTCGGAGGAGACGTTGAGGAAGGGCGGGGAGAGGGAGCAGTTGTAGGGCTCGGAGAAGACGTGGTCGTGGCGCGGCACCTGCAACAAAAAAAGCGCAAATTTAGCGGATGACGCGCCGAGGACCATTCTGCGGTTGCTGATAGCACCGTCACCTTGACCGAAACAATAAAATGACTAATTTATTTATCTAAAATCGAACTTTTATGCGGATTCCACGCCAATAACGTAGATAAAACGCCGAACAAGAGATCTTAATGGCCGGGATGAGTCAGCCGGTTATTTTTTCCGAATTTCTCGCTAATCGTTGCATCAGCATGAGTTTTTCAACGAACTTAAGACCTCGAGGAGACCGCCTTGAGTGTCTCCGGTGAACAAAAGCAAGCAATGCGGTAAGGATAATTCGGGTTCGGATTCATTAGTCGCCGTCACGAGATCATCACCGGCACGCCAAGCAGGCCATAATTTGGTCGCTGATGGGTAGCAATATTTCCTGGTCGATTTACGAGGCGCGACACGAACCCAAACTGCGGATTTTTGCACTAACCTCCTTAGGAACATGCTTGGTGCTGAAGTAGATGTGGATCGTAACGTATTCCTTGACCAGGCTGTCGGTGCAGTCCCGCAGGTACGCGATCGAGTCCAACGTGTTCTTGAAGTCGGTTCCCGGCGCGTGGAGCGCTATACTGATGGGCCCGCGCCAGCGTTCCAGCAGCGGCAGCAGGTTATCCATGAAGGAATAGTCCGCGTGCGTGGTGTACGTGATGCTCTCGTGGCACTTGAACACCCTCTCGGCCTTCACGTAGTTGTACAACACCCAGTAGTCGCCCCTCTGCTGCACTTTGGCCGTCATGGGCCGGTCCAAGCACTTGGTGACGGACTTGACCTTGTCGAGCACGCTGTGCGCCTTCTCGGTGGTGGGCGGCGGCGGTTTGGTGGGCTCGGCGGCGGGCGCCTCCTTGATGGGCTCCACGAGCAAGGGCTCGGCGTTCTGGGGGTCGAGGGCGGCGAGGTTGCGGCCCGACTGCTGCAGCTCGCGGATGGCCTCCGACGCTCGGTTGTTGGTGACCACGTGGACGCACAGGTACAGCGCGAGGGCGCCGATGGTGCACTTGATGGCGAAGGACTTGCGATTGGAGTACATCGTGTTCAGAGCTCACTTTTTCCGGCCTGGTGGTCGAACATTAAGGTAGGATTGGGAGTTCAACATGCCAGAAGATCATCAACGGGGGCCGGGGGGTGGCTACGGGGTCAGAGCATGGGCTAGAATAAAAAAAAAACAGTTACTTTTTGTGCTTATTTTGAATCTATAAAAATCGAAACCCCGCGCTCATTTTTATTTCAGATAATCAACTTTAAAATTACTTTCTTGATGGAAAGAAAACGTGGCTGAAATGATACATCAAGCTCGCCGACAAGCTTTCTGGAAAAAGACGTCCAAGGATGAAATTTAAATATCGACTTTCCTTCGCGATTCGTTGCGTCTTCCCCAAACCGTGCCTTCGAAATAAATCCGACTCCCGTTCCCGGCCGCATTTTATTGGAATCGTGGAAGAATATTTTACAATTTTCCAGACATCTGGTCAACGGTCGTCGAAAATCCGGCCATAATCACGTATTGTAAACAGGCGAGAAATAAAATTTACTGCTTCGACGATCGACAGAGTCAACATTTGCGAAAAACGAACCTCGCAGTGTCGTAATGAATTTGCTATAAATATTTGTTAGGTGTTAAGGTTCGCATGATGGGGTCCTAAAACCGCAATTAGCGAACTTCGTGATTTAGTTAGTCGACTCAGAATCCCGTTGTCTGAGTTCGGATTTCGGGGTGACCCGTGTCACAAACGCTTCTCGATCGATTTCCTCGAGAGATTTATAGCTTTACGTTCAATTTTCTCGCGAAGGATTCGGAAATGATCTCGCCGAGAGGAAAATTAAACTTGTAGATACGGTTTCATTGGCCTAGATTGACTGGCAATGAACTACAGGAGACAACGAAAACGAAGTTAAAGCGTGTACTAAAAGCAGTTTTGGGGCTCTTCTCCTGCGACCCAGATCGCCGTAATCTCATGCTAATTAACGCGATTAGCAGAAACATTCCAATTATTTATCTGTTTAGCATCTTCTATGTAAATCGATACACTTAATTAATTTATTTCAAATTAAGGCCGCTAACCTGTTAGTTATTCTAGAAGCTGGAACGAAGGCGTTTTTGTGTTAAAGTGTGCGAATAAATCGCTGTTATGTTAAAACTAACTTCAAGCTATTTCCGGCGACGTTAACCGCTGACGATTTTTCGAGTTTGAGTTAATCGCCGTTGAGAAACTAGATCTATTTCTTGAAGCGTTAACATTACTCGTGTCTGAGGATGGAATAATTAACCGACTGGAGAACTCGGTTTGATGTTGTTTCTTCTTATTTGTTGGGTAATTTGCACATCCGAGATGCGAGGAAAGTCGATGGGTAATATTCCGAGAATGCGTCCAGGGGCGGTCCTACTAAAAATGCAGTTTAACAGGGATTTTATCAGTGGCGTAAATAGCACCCCCGCAGATCCCGCAATGGGGAGGGGGGGGGGGCAGCGTCAAAAGGGGCGCAGACCGTAACGAAACCGATATATTTTTTTAAAATGTGCAATTTTTAAAGAAGGGGTTTTCATTGGAATTGAAAATGAAATTTTTCACTTTTTTGATATATCGATTTCTCGATCTTTCGATTTTTAAAATTTCTGATTTTTCGAATTTTGAATATTTTGATTTATCGTTTTTTTTTAAGTTTAAATATGTATATATTTCAGTTTTAAATTTTCCGGTTTTTCGATTTCTCCATTTCTCGGATCTTTTGATGTCTCAATTTTTTAATTCGATTTCTCGGCTTTTCCATTTTTCAATTTTTTATTTCAAGTTTTTAGATTTTTAAAATTCTCCATTTTTCGATTTTATGTTTTGTTATGCCTCGATCTCCCTTTTTAACGTTTTTCGATTTCTTACATCTCGATTTTTCGTTTTTTCGATTTTAAAATGTTTTTACTTTTCGTTCTTTTTTTCAAGTTTTCGATTTCTTAATTTTTCAACATTTCAATTTTGAGAATGTCTATATTTTTCAGTTTTTTGATATTTTCATTTTTCAACTTTTTAAATTTTGATTTTTCGACTTACCGGAAATCGATTGTTGGGTTTTTCAATTTTTCGACTTTTCAATTTTGAGATTTTTCAATTTGTAGATTTTTTGGTTTTTCATTTCTTCAGTTTTTCGGTTTTTCAAGTTTTCGAATTTTTAAAATTAAAATTTTTCAATTTTTCGATTTTATTTTTTTTACGTTCCGAATACCCGATTTTATTTTTTTTTATGCTTTCCAAGTGTTGGTTTTTCTAAATTTTCATTTTTCCATTTCTCAATTTTGTGTTTTTTTTAAATGTTAAATTTTTCGTTATTGTAATTTTTCAATTTTTTAAATTTTAGATATTTAGATTTTTCGACATCTTGAATTCTCGATCTTTTTTCAGTTTGAATTTCGCGGTTTTTCGATTTTCCAAAATTTCGATTTTTCATCTTTCGATTTTTGAAAATTTTCGATTTCTCGATTTTTCAGTTTTTGATTTTCCAACTTTTAGATGTTTCAAATTTTAGAGTTTGCAAATTTCACGAGTTTACAGTTTTTAATTTCGTCAATTTTTCGATTTGCAATTTTTCCTGTGGGTTTTTAATTTTCTTTATTTTTTCAATTTTCTGCTTTCAATTTTCCGTTTTTTTAATTTTTCATTTGCAGTTTTTCTAGTTTTCATTTGGATTATGTAACACTCCTAATTATTATAATTTTTAAAGTTTTTCACTTTTTCAGTTTTTCGTTTTTGGAATTTTTCAATTTTTCGGTGTTTGAATGTCATAGTTTTTGGACTTTACAATTTTCAAGATTCTATAATTTTTCGATTTTACAATTTTTAAAATTGGAAAACCAAGAAATCGAAATCGAAAACTTGAGACTTCAAAAGATCGAGAAATCGAAATAGGCCGAAATCGGAAAATTCAAAATTGAAATATTTACTTAAAAAAAAAGATAAACGGAAAAATCGAAAAACAAAAAAATCGATAAACCTAGATATGAGAAACAGAAAATTCCAAAAATCGAAAAATTGAAATACAGATTAAAAAGTTTCAAAAATCGAAGTTAAAAAATCGTAAAAACAAATTCCATTCGATTTTCCGTTTTATCGATTTTGCAATTTTTTGTTTCTTAATTTTTTTCCAATTTTTTAATTTTCCGATTTTTCAATTTTTCGAATTTTCTACTTTCCGAATAAACAAAATGGAAAAGTTATAAATTAGAAAAATTGTAAAATTGAAAACTCAAAATGAAAAAACGCAAATGTATAAAATGAAGGCTTCGAGAAATCTAAAAACTTGAGAAATTGAAGAAAGGGAAAATTCAAAAATCGAAAGATTAAAAATTGGGAAACTTAAAGATCGAAAAATTGCGGTCGAAAACACGAAAATTATTGTAAAATCTAAATATTGAAAATTGGAAAATCGAGGAATTGAAAATGTGAAAAATTGAATAAACGAAAAATTGTGATATCAAATCCAGAAAATGAAAATTAAAAAATCGGGAAAAACCTCAATTTATGATTAATGATTCTGTTAAGACTGTACCAGGAATTTCCGCATTTTATGATTTAATAAATGCTATATACGTCTATTTCAGTGATAGTTTACCGAGATGGCAACAACAACAACAACAACATTGAGATGAAAGAAAATGATAAGTGTGTTATAAAAAAAACTTTAAAAATGTTATGCCCCACCAGATGGTCATCGAGATTTGATTCTCTAATTGCCATTAGATATAATAATCTCTCAACAGTTATGAGCTGAAATTATTTTAACATCAAAAAAGAAAAGTGAAATAGATGAAGCTGTAGCTCTTCGTAAAAAAATGGATTCATTTGAATTTGTTGCTCTATTAGTATTTCAATGCAAAATTTTAGAAAATGTTAATTTGGTCTCAAAAACTTTACAGAGTTGAAATATTACTTTAGATGAGGCTTGTAAATGGATGGAACATCTAAAAGACAAATTTCAAAGTATACGTGACAATTTTGAACAAATAATGGAGGAATCAAGGAAATGTGCTGATACCTGGAAAATTAACAATTCTTTTTTCAAATAAACGTATAAAAAAAGTAAAACTGTTTCATGACGAATTATGTGAAGATACCGTTTTCAAAAATCCCACTGAAAAATGTAAAACAGCCGTTTTCTATCCTGCTCTTGATATTTTAAATATTCAAATTAAAGATAGGTTTGAAAGCATGAAAAACGTCAGAAACTATTTTTCTTTTCTAGGACCACAGGAAATGTTGAATTGTACAGACGAAGAATTTGTGGAGGCAGCATCAAAGTTGGCAAATAAATACGAAGAAGATATTTCTAGTGCAATCTGTGGGCAAATCGTTAGTTTTAAAAACATTGTTGTTGGTGAAATTATTCAGCAAAAAATAACTAAAATTATAAATATTGCTAAGTTTCTGTTTATGGACAATAATTTTTTAACGACAGAAAGATCTTTTTCTAAATTAAAATTAATTAAATCATATTTGCGAAGCACGATGAGTCAAAAACGATTAACCAACTTGGCTCTGTTGAGCATTGAGTGTGATCGATCCCAAAAATTAGATCTCGACAGTGTCATACGCGAATTTATGAACTCTCGACAACGTCGAATGAAGCCAGTATAATCAATTAACAATTTTTAAAAATTATTATGTGTATAAATTATTATTATTTGTAAATCTGTGTTATTCGGCGCCACTACTGGTAAACCAGTAATTTCATATTAATTTTATATTACTTTTTAAATTTGGTGTATGGGGGCGCTTACTATAAACTGCGGGGGGGCGCAGTGGAAGTTAGCTACGCCACTGGATTTTATTAGGGTAATTTAGTTACACAGGCACCTCTAGAGTCATTTATCATGTTTTTAAGTTAAACCCCTTGGTAACTGTTTGCGATTCAAATTTAAAAAAAAAGTAACTTAGTCTGGTTAGTTGGAATTCTTTCTAATATATTCGAAACATTCGATTCGAACGATTTTGCAAATTACGGTTTTGTATAAGACATTAAACGACATGTAATCAACCAATGGCAGCGGCTGAATTGTGACCACAGAAGATGCGAAAGCGAAACTCAGTCACTTCGTTCTCACATTCGATGTTTCTCCTGCCACCGTCAACTTGGCGATCGCCATCCTCTTCATCCAGAGGACA